ATATCCTGTCTGCTGGTAGTTCATATCCTGTCTGCTGGTAGTTTATATCCTGTCTGCTGGTAGTTCATATCCTGTCTGCTGGTAGTTTGTGTCCTCCAGTCTGCTGGTAGTTTATATTCTGCCTGCTGGTAGTTTATATCCTGTCTGCTGGTAGTTCATATCCTGTCTGCTGGTAGTTTATATCCTGTCTGCTGGTAGTTTGTGTCCTCCAGTCTGCTGGTAGTTTACATCCTCCTGTCTGCTGGTAGTTTACATCCTCCTGTCTGCTGGTAGTTTACATCCTCCTGTCTGCTGGTAGTTTATATTCTGCCTGCTGGTAGTTTATATCCTGTTCGCTGGTAGTTCATATCCTGGCTGCTGGTAGTTTATATCCTGTCTGCTGGTAGTTTGTGTCCTCCAGTCTGCTGGTAGTTTACATCCTCCTGTCTGCTGGTAGTTTACATCCTCTTGTCTGCTGGTAGTTTACATCCTCCTGTCTGCTGGTAGTTTACATCCTCCTGTCTGCTGGTAGTTTACATCCTCCTGTCTGCTGGTAGTTTATATTCTGCCTGCTGGTAGTTTATATCCTGTCTGCTGGTAGTTTATATCCTGTCTGCTAGTAGTTTATATACTGTCTGCTGGTAGTTTATATCCTGTTTGCTGGTGTCACGAATTGACAATAGTCTCAAGATGAGCAGGACCAGAACCAAGACCAGAGCCAGAGTAAAATTCAAGTGATTTATTTACAATGTGGTGAACAACAAAAAAACTAGAATGTGCAACCAAGGGGACAAGATCCGGGGAGGCTAGGTTCAGCAAGAACTGAAAACACAAAGAGAGGCAGGATGAATCTCAGCAGGAGTTATTAGACAAAAAGATCTTGAGGTTAAAGGGTTTTGTTGTGGTAGCTTACAGTAACTCTGGAGGCAGACAACTTGGGAGGAGGCACGTGGCAATAGAGTCCTGAGGTTCCAAGAATCAAAAAGCAGAAGAGGCAGTCCAAAAACTCCAACAGTGAGTTCCACAGGTGAGTCCAACTTGTAAGCTGATTCCAGGAGGCTGACACTGGCAAGGAGGTTGGGTAAGGTCTGAGAACAAGGGGAGTAAAAACAACAATGTTCCAAAAACCACACTTGGAAGTTACAGCAAGGTGGCCAGGAGAGGTACCCAGAAGGCGTGATGCTCCAGCGAAGACCAAGTCTCAGAATGAGCCTTTTAAAGCCAGTGAGCCTCATCAGGAGAGTGGAAACAGCTGTGGGAAGTGGAGAGCCTTGGAACCAATTAAGCAGAGCAGGCCAGGGACAGAGCAGAATCATCACAGCTGGTAATTTATATCCTGTCAGCTGGTGGTTTGTGTCCTCCAGTCTGCTGGTAGTTTATATTCTGTCTGCTGGTAGTTTATATCCTGTCAGCTGGTAGTTTGTGTACTCCAGTCTGCTGGTAGTTTACATCCTCCTGTCTGCTGGTAGTTTCTATCCTGTCTGCTGGTAGTTTCTAACCTGTCTACTGGTAGTTTCTATCCTGTCTGCTGTTGGTTTATATCCTCGTGTCTTCTGGTAGTTTCTATCCTATCAGCTGGTAGTTTATATCCTGTCTGCTGGTAGTTTATATCCTGTCTGCTGGTAGTTTATATCCTCGTGTCTGCTGGTAGTTTCTATCCTATCGGCTGGTAGTTTCTGTCCTGTCTGCTGGTAGTTTCTATCCTGTCTGCTGGTAGTTTATATCCTCGTGTCTGCTGGTAGTTTCTATCCTATCGGCTGGTAGTTTCTGTCCTG